GGGAGTACTATGGAAACTAACTACCCACCTGTAAAGGGCTTCTACCAATAAGGGATCTACTTTTTGGATCCTCTCGGGGGTCTGGGAACCCCCAACACTCTCAGCCCTCACAGCCGATGCCCCAGACCCTCGGCAGTATTCAGTAGAATAGGGTGCCAAAATGAGGGGTTCCCCTAAACCCAAAACCCTAAAGGGTCCTAACCCCCCTAAACCCCCCAAACCCCAGACCCTAAAACCTAAACCCTAAACCCTACGAGGTTCTACTTTCCCAGACCCCCGGAAGGATCTAGAAAGTAGAACCCCTAATTTGGGACCCTAACTACTAAAGGGTACTCTATAGGAACCCCCTTAAAGGGATCTACTTTCTAGATCCTTCCGGGGGTTTGGGTTCTGATTCTAGATCCTCCCGAGGGTCTGACACCCCAAGACCCGAAGACTGGACCGACAGATCTCAGGTCGCCTACAGCAGACTCGTCGGTTTAGGGTTTAGGGGTTTAGGTGTAGGGTTTAGGTTTAGAGTTTAGGAGTTTATGGGTTTAGGTTTACGGCTACGGGTTTAGAATTTAGGGGTTTAGGCGGTTTAGGGCTTAGGCTTAAAATTTAGGAGTTTAGGGGTGTAGGGTTTAGGGGCTAGGGTTTAGGTTTAAAGTTTAGGGGTTTAGAATCTGGGGGTTTAGGGTTGAGGCTTTGAGTTTAGTGGTTTGGGTTTGGGTTTTAGGGTGTAGTAGGGGTTTGCGCAAGGCAGAGCAATCGTTGCCACCCCGGTTGGGCACGCCAGGTCGATGTGAGCTTATTCGGTGTACCCTAAACCCTAAACCCTAAACCCTAAACCCTAAACCCTAAACCCTAAAACATTGGAGATTGGGGCTTTGTGTCGGCCGCTCTTGTAAGCCGCCATGAACTGCTGACCGCCTGTGGCCGTCTCCGAAAGATCGTCGGAGCGATGTCGATGTCTGCGGAAGATGGTTAGGGGTTTAGGGTTTAGGGGTTAGGGTTTAGGGTTTAGGGGTTTAGGGTTGAGGGTTTAGGGTTGCTTCGATCTTGTCGAAGGACTCGCAAGCAAGCTCTACGTCTAATCTTCCAGAAGGCCCGGCTGTAGAATACGGGTTTCCTGATGGCTACAAGGCTCGGTCCAAATCTCCTTGGAGGGAACCTCTTCCGAGTGTGATACAATCATCAGGGAAGGGCCCCGCGGTGTGTCGCTTGCTTCTCGGTGTTGTGGCAGATGCAGAAGGACGGCCCCACTGAGCTCCCCTGAGGGTGTCCCCAGAGAGCTAACTTTCTCTTGGATGACGGGCACAACGGCAAGAAGCTTGCTGCCGGAGTTGCCGGTGTCATTGCCGTAGTTTCAGTATGTTCTACTTTTCTTGTGTTGGATTCTCTTGTCCAGGAGCAGGTTTGCAGGGGGCTTATATATGTCGGGCTCCAGATCGTATGAGCCAAAGTTCATCTTGAAAGTCTTCGTGTTAGGCTTAGGATCTTGGTGTTTTAGGTTTATTGTCTAGCGGTTCAGGGTTTAGGTTTAGAGTCAAGGGGTTTAGGGTTTCTAGGATTTTGAGCTGAGGGATCTAAAACTTCGAAACCGTGGCAGGAAAAATTAGATCCTCAAACTTGGGGATCTATGCGCTTTATGGGAACCTAGTTCAAGGATCTGCCTTTAAAAATCGTCTGAGTGGTCTGCGCGAACCTCGGATGCTTCAGAGTTCCCAGGCTACCTCAAACAGCAGAGCTGGAACCCTCAAATCCTAAACGGCTGAGGTTCCAGAACCGCAATCCCAAAACCTAAACCGTTGAATCCGTTCAATAGTTCCCAGGCTTTCAAAACTCTTTGTACCCCAGAATTTCCTCAACCCTAAGTCGTCTGCCCTAAACCCTATATTCTCAAACCGCATACACTGTCATACACCCTAAACCCTAAATCGTCTGCGAGGTCTTGAAAGACTCGCTTCTCTCCATGGAATTCGAGGCTAGCGGGCAACTGTCAGGATTAGGGTTTAGGGGTTTAGGGTTTTGCAACACAAAAACATGTTCCCCCCCCCCCAGCCTCAGCATAGAGCCCGGGTCCTGTGGATTGAGCTGGCCTTTGCACAAGGGATCCTTCATATTTACTATTACGTCAAGCTTCAGACCAGAAGTAGCCCAGGAGCTAAATAGTCGAGTGATGCAGCTCATGGTCAAGCACTTGCATTGTCCACAAGCAGACCTGCCAGGGGATTGGCTGCTTGAAGTAACCCAAAACAAACACCGTAAGTAGGACAAAATGTCAATCAGGCGTAAGAGGCACCGTGCGCCTGAAGTGTACAGACATTATAGTGCTTTATTGGGTGTTGAGTTGAGGGTTAAGGGACTCTGAACAATTTTGGTGTACTATGGTTGTACTAACTAAGGAAAAGACAGTGGCAATGTAAACCCATGATCAATAATCCGTCTCCCTCAAGAAGGTTTAGAATAGGGCGATCTGAATATCCGGACCTTTGAAGAGAAGTGCGCGGCGCACATGCGAAATTTAGATGACAGCTCTCAGTACCAACGTCTTCCCCCCAAGCCCTCCAGGACCCCATTCTATGAATCCGTAACCGAGCAGGTTTTGAAGGGTCCGGTAAATGCCAAATCATAGTTCGACCTCCTTCCCAGACCCCCAAAAGGATCTACAAAATAGATCCCCTAAGGGGGTTCCTATAAAGTACCCTTTAGTAGTTAGGGTCCCTAATTAGGGGATTTTTTTTTTAAGATCCTTTTGGGGGTCTGGGTTACCCACGGGGTTGGGTTTGGGTTTACGGTTTGGGGGTTCAGGCTTAAGGTTTTCGGGTTTAGGTCTTTCGGGTTCCAAGATCACCGGGAGGACCGTGAAAGTAGATCCCCTAATGGTGCTTCCTATACAGAACCCTAGGTGTTCGTCCTGAACATGGAGCGATAACGCAAATGACAACCACAAGAAAAAACAACCAAGCCGTACATTGGCTGCGAGGAGATTATCAAGTTCTTCAAGATGATGAAGACCTATCACGACGAGGCCTGAAAACCCTAAACCCTAAACCAGGCTTCTTGGTTGTTACCCAGACCCCCAAAAGGATCTAAAAAATAGATCCCCTAATTAGGGACCCTAACTACTAAAGGGCACTTTATAGGAACCCCCTTAGGGGATCCATTTTTTAGATCCTTTTGGGGGTCTGGGTATGGAAGGCTGTGGTCGTTTCGCTGTTCTTGAGCGCATTCCCGAAACCCCAACCAGTACCTCCATGCAGAGACCCGCCCGTTGGCTAGAATAGAATGCACCCAGAGACTCCAATATCCCTTAATTAAGGAATATTCATTAAATTACAGCAGGATCCTTAATATCATTTAAGGTATATGCCTTAATTAAGGGATATTGGAGTCTCTGGGCAATCCTGGATGAAAAGGTACTGTGCGGGCCCGAAAGGTGAGCTTTGTATTGCTGTTCAGGAAGCTCTTACAACGCAGAACGAACGTGATGAACCATAAAACCGCTAAAGGGATCCACTTGCGGGGTCGTTTTGAGGTCCAGCTACCTCTCACCCAACTTCAAAACATCTGTTTGTTACAGCCTTTCGAACGCAGGCAAGAGAAGCTACCCCAAGGGTCCTGGGTGTCTCAGTCTCCATGTCTAAGGTAGAACCCATGGGCCCCTAGTATGGGCCCTTAACCCTGGCACCCTAATATACCTACTATATACCCTATATATACCCTTAAGGGACCCTAGAATTTTGGTAAGGGCCCATGTTAGGGGCCCATGGGTTCAACCTTAGACCATGGTAGAGTCCAGACTCTCCAGGAAGGGCTGCCATTGGGTTTTTTTGGGGGATCTCGTCAATCCGATTCTTGAGGCCCTGGCAAGTATCATGTCGCCTCACTTCGTGGTGTAGGCGTCGGCTTAGGGTGTTTATGTGTAGGGTTTATACTGTAGGAGCCTTACAGCAGAAGTGGTTGAAAAACTTACTGGCTACTTACTACTTGCTATTATTACCACTACCGGTCACTACCACTACCACCAGCACCACTACCACTACTACTACCACTAGCACTACCACTACCACCAGCACCACCACAACGACCAGTACCACAACCTCCACGACGACGACCACGACTATGACTACTACTACTACTACGACGACGACTACGACTGCTGCTGATGAGGCAGCCGTGAATCTTCCAGCAGACCTTTCGGCAGGAACGACATCCCAAAATTCCCGATGAACACCCGTTTAACCAGCAGAAACAGGTTCTTAGGGTTTGGGGTTTAGGTAGTTTTGCCGGTAGAAGCTCATGAAATCCGTAGGCCTGAAACTTTAAACCCTAAGTTAGGAACAAATGCTACCCCCCTCGAACTCCCTACAGCTATCCAAACCAGGACGGTGAGCTCGGCGCTGTCAAAATCGGACAGCTGTCCGAGCCCGAGTGTTCAAGGTCTGATGTATAGGTGCTGAACCCGTGGGTTTCTTGAGGGGTTCCAAACCCAGACCCCCGGAGGATCCAGAAAGTAGATCCCTTAATGGGAGGTCTTATAAAGAGACCTTAGTAGTATAGGGTCGTAAGTTAGGGGATCTACTTTCTAGATCCTTCCGGGGGTCTGGGAAATGGTTGCTATTAGGGGAACTATGGGGGGCTTAATACTGGGGGCCTGAACATTAGAATAGGGTCCCATCATGAGTTCTGTACGGGGTTGTGACAAGGATTCAATGAAGCTTCTATAGTAAAGGGGTTTTCATGGTTAGGGGTTCAAAGTCTAACAGGATCTTTCGGAGTGCTTATAATAGGCACAAGCAAACAATAAGATAGGCATATCCCATATAACCCCCTTATAATGAAGCCCAATAAGGTAGGGATATCCCTATAAAATGGTTATGCTTATGTCCTTTTTGGGTTCCTAATATATGATATTACGGGCGCGTGGCAACTAGGGTTATTATTCGGGTAGCTATACTGGCAGTTACTTACAAAGTCCACTTACCCAGACCCCCGGAAGGATCTAGAAAGTAGATCCCCCTAACTTACGACCCTATACTACTAAGGGCTCTTTATAAGACCTCCCATTAAGGGATCTACTGTTTGGATCCTCCCGGGGGTCTGGGTAAGGGGTCTACTTTCCCTACATCTGCCAGGGTCTCGGTTCGTTGTATCAGGTCCCAAATTACACGGGCCATCTACTTTCAGAATCGCGGAGACTCCCGAACCCAGACCCCTGGGAGGATGCAAAAAGTAGATCCCTTAATGGGGGTTCGTTTAAAGACCCTTTAGTAGTATAGGGTCCCAAATTAGGGGTTCGGCTTTTCAGATCCTCCCGGGGGTCTGGGAAGCCCTCATAAGGGAATGTTTCGAGGATCATGATCATCGGTCTTCGTGCACTCGGTGCCTACAGGGTGTTCGCAAGGGGGTTCAGGGTTTTGCATTTCCGGACTCAGCCATTTTGGCAACGTTGGGCTGTCTGGATTTCAGGCAACAGCTGCGAACATAATGACCCTGTCCCGTGGTAGGCGCAAATTTAACTAAGGGATTTCTACTTTGTAGATCCTCCCGGAGGTCTGGGTGGGGGATAAAATGCAAACCAGCCGTGCTGGTTTTTGTGGCACTCATTAGCTGAGTGTGTTACCCTCGGCTTTGTTGGAAACTTGTTTATGAGCTAGATCCCACCAACTGTAGAGAATGGCGGATGGAGATGGAGATCGAGATAGAGACAAACATAGAGATAAGTACTGATATAGAAACAGATTGGGGTCGCTGTCGAGATGTCTGTGTACCCAGGTCCTTAGGTGCCCAGTGCGCAACCCTTTGAACTGTGTGTTGTTGGTGGGTTTAGGGTTTAGGGTTTAGGGTTTAGGGTTTAGGGTTTAGGGTTTAGGGTTTAGGGTTTAGGGTTTAGGGTTTAGGGTTTAGGGTTAGGGTTAGGGTTTAGGCTTTAGGTTGGTAGTCTTGGAGGGGCAGGGTGTTCAGGGCTTTGGTGTTGTCGGGTTTCTTATTCCCAGACCCCTGAAAGGATCCAAGCACCAGAACCCCTGAAACGAGATATCCTAATGTTTTAGTGCTGTGTAAAGTCTCCAGGGTTTACCTTAAACTACCAAAACCTACTTTTTTGTAGGGTCCCTATAAATTCTATATTAGGGTTTATAATATGGACCTACAAAAAAGTAGGTTATGCTAGTTCAAGGTAGGGTTGAGGAAGTCGGTCAGCCCGCTGCGAAGCCACTGCCTTGGTGCTGCTCACGGAGGGCCACGAGACATCGGGTTGCGCCACTTTGGCCACAACCTGGACAGGCAAACCCTAAACCCTAAGCCCTAAACCCTAAAACCCTAAACCCTAAACCCTAAAACCCTAAAACCCTAAACCCTAAACCTTAAACGGAAGCCCTCACAAAGCAGTACGACGGCTTACGTAGGACCCCGGAGCCAATAACCACCAGACCACCTGCTGTCCCTCTTTGGGGTTAAAGGTCTAATATATGGGGTAAATACTTACCAATACTACAGTATTTTTGGGGCTCTGTATTATAATTATAGTATAATAGACCCCAAAACCCTATTCTAATTATCCAGGCTTATAGAACCCTTATCGCAACCCCTTTAAAGGAGCCCAAGACCCTGTTCTAATTCGTAAGGCCCATGCATCCTCAAGCCAGCAGTCTCTGCAAGGCTCATGAAGCACAGGGTTTAGGGCCGTTTAGGGTTTAGGGTTTAGGGTTTAGGGCCAGCCGTCCCTGCAAGGCTCATGAAGCACACCGAGCAGGTTCATATACCCAAGGAAACGATCCAGTGCGCCTGCTTAAACCCCAAAGCCTACACCCTAAACCCTAAACCATCAACCCTAAACCCTAAACCCTAAACCCTAGGAAACGATCCAGTGCGCCTGCTTCGCCTCACGGGCTCTAGGGGTTTGGGGTTTTGGCTTCAGGGTTTTAGGGTTTAGGGTTCATGGTAGTTTAGGGTTTAGGGTTTGGGTTCTTAAGCTTTAGTTGTTTAAGACTTTGGAGTTTTGGTCAATGGTAGCTTTGACTCCCGATCAATGAGCCCCTGTTGTCTGTGCAGGCCTTAATATTCAGATCCCTTTTAAGGGAGAGCAGCTTATGATTCCGGGATTCCTAAACCCTCAACCCTAAACCCTAAACCCTTTTGGGCTTTGGGCTGAGGGAGCCTACGGCTCCTAGGGTTTATGGTCTGCGGGTTTGTTGGAGCAAGCCCTAAGCCTTAAACACAACACCCGGAACCCCAATAGCTGGCTCCTCCTGGTAAGGAAAACTACTGCGTATGCAGATGGAAAAGGGCCCCAAAAAACGCAACACCCGACGGGTTTAGGGCTTATCCCTGAACCCTAAACCCTAAACCCCTAAACCCTAAACCCTAAACCCTAAACCCCTAAACCCTAAACCCTAAACCTATAGGCTATAACCCCTAAAGCCTCAAGAGTTCAGACTCCTACGGCTGATGGACAAAATCCTGCATGACCTTATATACCTAAACTATGGGATTTATGGTACTATACTATATTCGGGTCATGCAGAATTTTGTCCATCAACAGTAGTATGGAGTTTTGGGAATGAGGTTCTATACCCAGAGCCCCCGGGTGGATCCCAAAAGTAGATCCCTTAGTGGGGGTTCCTGTAAAGAGCCCTTAGTAGTAGAGTAGTATCGGGTCCCAAATTACGGGTTCTACTTTCTGGATCCTTCCGGGGGTTTGGGTTTATATAGAAGCCTAAATAATCATCTATATTATTCCTTAGCGTTCCTCATTATAAGTATAGTAAAATGGGCCCCAATACCCTACTCTAATTATGAAGGCCCATATGTTGTTAAACCTACCAAGCTCATTCTGATCGATCCCGATTCCAGACCCGCAGGAGGATCTAGAAAGTAGATCCCCTACTTTGGGACCCTATACGACTAAAGGGTACTTTATAAGACCCCACTTAAGGGATTTACTTTTTGGATCCTCCCAGGGGCTGGGATTCGAGATTTACCAGATCCCTTGCGATGTCAGAGCAGGCTCTGTGGGTTCTGATTCCCAGACCCCCCGGAAGGATCCAAAAAGTAGATCCCTTAATGGGGGGGTCCTATCAAGTAGCCCTTAGTAGTACAGGGTCCCAAATTAGGGGTTCTACTTTCTAGATCCTTCCTGGGGTCTGGGGGCCTGGGTTTAGGGATCGGTTGTTATAGGGGTTTAGGGTTTAGAGAATCCTTCTTGTTGACTCCATAAAGAAGCTTTGGTATTGCCCACAGGTACCTCCTAAAGGATTACGTAGGGTCCCGAATTCGGGGGGCCTTTGTTTTGGGATTCTCCCCAAGCAGTCTGGAAAAGTCCTTAAACCGTAAAAACCCTTTAGGCCAAAACCCCTAAACCCTAAACCCCTAAACCCCTAAACCCCTAAACCCTAAACCCTAAACCCTAAATCCTAAATCCTAAACCCTGAACCGTTCCGGGAAGGTACCTCCGTGCCGGCTTGGACGATGATCCACACCTTGATTCAGACGAGTCCTGGGAGGCCAGGTGGGGCGTCGGGTTTAGGGTTTAGGGTTTAGGGTTGTTTAGGGGTCCCGGATCCCATAAATAACCCAGACCCCCGGGAGGATCCAAAAAGTAGATCCCTTAATAGGGGTTCCTGCAAAGAGCCCTTGGTAGTATAGGGTCCCGCTTTAGGGGATCTACTTTCTAGATCCGTCCGGGGGTCTGGGTAGAGGATTCAAGAATCAGAAGCCCCAAAACCGCTCAAGACAGGCCGTGTTTACGGAGTTCCATGTTCTTAGAACCTCCCGGTGTATTGGGGTTGTCCTCTGTCTGGGATTTAACTGGCCAGGACCCTCCCTAGCTTTTTGGGTATCCTTCCGGTCCTTATCCAGATTCCAAGCAGGATCCAGGAATTCGATGCCTGCAGCTGGCTTGCTATAAAGTTAGCAGTATAGGGCCCCAAAGCAGTGGCTCCAAATTAGCGGCTCTACCTTCTAGATCCTCCCGAGGGTCTGGGTTCATATCTGGTCTGCAAAGTTGACTTTCAGATGGGGTTCGAACTGCCGTGACGTCGTTTCTGGATTTCGGGTTAGGGTTTAGTGTAGAGTTCGGAGACTGAGCCGGGAAGTCCTTAGAACTAAACCCGAAACACGACATGTGTTGTCGCACAGAGGAATCTGTTGCACGCTGAGGCTGACAGCTTTTGATCTTAGCCCGGCACGTTGCCTGAACTTGGCAAAAGCTCTCTTCCCCAGACCCCCGGAAGGATCTAGAAAGTAGATCCCCTAATTAGGGACCCTACTACTAAAGGGTACTGTATAGGAACCCCCTTAGGGGATCTAGTTTTTAGATCCTTTTGGGGGTTTGGGTTCTTAGGGTTCCGTAAGCAGGAGTTGATGGGCTTGGGGAGATGGAGATCCGGGTCTCCACATTCAGGGTGGAGGGAGGGTTTAGGATATTTGGGTTTAGGTTTTGGGTTCACACAATATCTTTAGGGTGTCTTGGGTTGGAGCTGCTCTGATGTTGAGAGCACATAATATCAGGTTTCATGGAGGCTCGTTTGAGCTAGAAGTACTAATTGGTGAAGCTCCTTGAAGTCTTGCTCAGAAACCGCACAATGCTGTTAAGAAGTCCACAAATTTAAACCCTAAACCTCCTTAAGTCCAAAACCCTTGTTGCCTAAATTCGTTATCACCGCCGTCGTAAACCAAAAACTTAAACCCGTAAACCTGAAGCCCTAAATTCTAAAATGCCTACGTAGACCCTGAACCCTAAACCTGACTGTCAAGCTTGCCGATTGCCAGAACGAGCAATCGTCCTGGTCAAGCTATCTGTCGCGTGCCCCTGCGGAGGGTCTTACGACGTTGCAGTTTAATTGGGGCTTGACCCTCAACCCTGCTTGGCGGTTCATGGGACTTAGGAAGTACAGTTATAAGTACCCTAACTGGGGTTATATGTAATTATAAGTATAGTTACCTTGTTTATAACCCTAGTTACTAAGTCCCATGAACCTTGAAGTAGGCCTCATCCGTGACCCTTAGCCGTGGACCCAGACCCGCGGAAAGATCTAGAAAGCAGATCCCCTAATTTGGGACCCTAAACACTAAACCCTATACTACTAAACCCTATACTACTAAAGGCTCTTAAGCCGTAAACCTTAAACCCTGTACTACTAAAGGCTCGAAAAACCCTAAACCTTAAACCCTATACTACTAAAGGCTCTTGAAGCCCCAAACCCTAAACTTTAAAGGAACCCCCAATTTAAGGGATCTACTTGTTGGATCCTGCCCACGGGCTGGGAAAGGCTGGAGGTTTAGGGTTTCTGGGGCTCAGGGTTTCGGGGTTTAGGGCTTTGACGTAGGGTTGAGGCCTTGGGATTCAGGGTTTGGGATCTAGGGTTTAAGGGTTTAGGGTCTAAGGGTTTAGGGTCTAAGGGTTTAGGGTTTAGCGGTCTAGGGTTTAAGGGTTTAGGGTTTAGGGGTTTAGGGTTTCGAGTTTAGCGGTTTTGGGTTTTGGGGCTTGGTCTTTCTCAAGCCGGGAGCAATTTGCGTGGTTTCTTTGTAGCATCAGGGGTGGCATCCGTCGTTGTTGTGTTTGGGGGAGGGGGTGTTCCTAATCTAGCATAAGGGTCTTGTGTGTAGATACAAAGTAGACTTGCTTCTGCTGTGTTGAGTTTGCCAGGTAGGATTTAGCGTTTCGGCATGTGCCCGAGCCATAAGTAGCTATACCTTGAGTTTAGGCTCTAGCGTTTAGGCCCCGACGCCTGGCGCCCTAACCCTAAGCCCTAAACCCTAAACCCAAGATCTTCGTCGAGTGGGGCGCCTCGTCGACGAGTACAACTCGGCGGCGAGGTCCGCTCCTTCCCGGCCGACGAGCTCCTCGGAGCGGAGGAGGTGCTGGCGCGTATGCACTGGGAGCAGACGCGCGACAAGCTCTCTACGCCTAAACCCCTAAACCCCTAAACCCCTAAACCCCTAAAGCCCTTAAACCCAAAAACCCTAAACCCTAAACCCTAAACCCTAAACCCTAAACCCTAACCGGCGCTCAAGGTAGTCAACCCTCTGTCGGTGAGGCGCAGCGCCGGCTGGGCGGCAGCAGCTGCGAATCGTCGATGGCGGCCTCACTGCCCAAGGGGACATGGGCGGTCGTCGACGGGATGACGGCGATCAAGTGGAGTTTAAGGGTTTAAGGTATAGGGCTTCGGATTCCGTAGTACAATTTCCGTATTACTTAGTGGTGAATGAGATAGGTTTGAGGGTCCACGTGGGCTTTATAGGGTTTGAGATGGGTTTGGGATTCAGGATTGAGGGGGTTCTGTGTCGTCAGGACGAGATGGCTTTAAAGGTGAGGGTTTAGGGTCTAGGGTTTGGGGTTGATTAACGGTTAGGGTCGAGCTTGCAGTACAGCGTGCCCAAGAGCAAACAGCACCTACTCCCCAAATGTCTGAGCCCTAAACCCTGACACCCTAATCACATAAAAAAGGCACAAGCGCCTTGCAAGAAAGCCCCGCTTCTGGGAAAGGATTCCGGGTCAGTCCGTAGCAATGACAGCAATCATTCTGCCATTCTATCGAAACTATATACCCAGACCCCCGGGAGGATCCAAAAAGTAGATCCCTTAATCGGGGTTCCTATAAAGAGCCTTTAGTAGTATAGGATCCCAAATTAGGGGTTCTACTTTCTAGATCCTTCCGGGGGTTCTGGGTAAGTTCTCTAGCCAGCCTGGACAGGACTGTCTGGTGCTTAGTAGGGAATGGGGGAATGGGTTATAGGGACTACGATAAGGGACCTTAAGGGACTATCATAGGGATCCATTCCCACATTCCCTACTAAGCACCAGACAGAGGAAGCCCAACACGAAGCCTCCAACCCCAACGCGAAAGTCGCTAGACTGGCACCCTAAGTTCCAGCAGGCAGAGTAGGGTTTAGGATTTAGGGTTTAGGGTTTAGGGCTTAGGGCTTAGGGCTTAGGGTTTAGGGTTTAGGGTTTAGGGTTGGGTTTAGGGTTTAGGGCTCATACTTGGAGGTTCATGGGACTTAATAAGTACAGTTATAGGTACCTTAATTGGGGTTATAAGTAGTTATAAGTATAGTTACCTTGTTATAACCCTAGTTACTAAGTCCCATGAACCTTTAAGTAGGGTTTAGGGTTTAGGGCTTCAGCGTTTAGGGTTTCACGGTGTAGGGTTTTAGGGGCTTGCAGTTTTCGTAGGTCAAGGGACTACAGGAGGGACCCTTAAAGGGACCCTTGGGGTTATATAGGGGCTGTATGAGACTATATAAGGGGTATATAAGGGTCAGATAGGATATTCGGATTAGGGGTCCCTCCTATTGTTCCTGAATGGTGGGGGAGAGACAGGTATCTAGGGCATTTTCAGGTGGGTAGTTACCGTTATAGGAGCCTTATGGAAGGTCTATATACCTCATAGAAGCCTTATAGAAGCCCTATAGAAGCCCTATATACCCTAAACTCCCCACCTGTAGCACCCTTAACCCTAAACCCTAATCCCTAAACACTAAACCCTAAACCCTATATACCCTAAACTCTCCACCTGTAGTCTCCTTTAAAGGTATGTTCTCCTGGAGGAAGTCGTCGACGCCCAATACTTTGAGGCGCAGCTTGCCCAATCTCCGAACCCTACCTAGGACCCAGAGTGTCCAACAGGGTTTAGGGTTTAGGGCTGGTTAAGGGTTTAGGGTTTAGGGGTTTAGGGGTTTAGGGTTTAGGTTTAGGGGTTTAGGGTTTAGGGTTTAGGGTTTAGGGCTCATAACCTTTATGTAGCACTACAAGCTTTACATGTATGGAGTTTCTGCTTATGTGCCCTGCTTGTTTACTTGTGTGGGGATTCTGTTCATGTACCCTGCTTGAAGCAGCTGGAGACCCAGCAGTGTTCCAAAATCATGAAACAAGAGGTGGTTTTCTGCACATCTGTGTTCTCGTTATGTTGCAACGTCCATAGTACGTTTACATCATGTCCTGATGCTTCAAAACCCCCTGAGTTAGCAGGACACCTTGAATTGTGGAGGGGCCCTGGATTAACTGGCGAGATAAGGTATATTCCTTAACTATGAGGATTTGAAGTCTCCCTAAGCCCTAATTCTAGGACATTTTCAGGTGGGTAGTTACCGTTATAGGAGCCTTAAAGAAGGTCTACATACCTTATCGAAGCCTAATAGAAGCCTTATATACCTTAAACTCCCCACCTGTAGTTTTCCTTTA